TGATTCATCGATTAATCGAAAAAATAATCAGCCGATTCATCGATTTTTAAAATGATCGTTAGTTGCAGCCCTAATATAAACAAATAAAAAACAGACAAGGTCAACATCCAGAGAGCTAATTTATTAGGAAAATAAAGAGGGCCGCTGTGACCCAAAGCTGAACATTCCCAGATTGCTCCTGTAGGTGTACTAAACAACATTAGTACTGATGTCATGTCTGTTGCCATGGATTACAGGTCCAATTAGGACTATTAATCTAATCCTGAATCCAAAGCCTCACCAGGATCCAAACAAGCCGCGTAAGCAAGTCTAGAGAAAGATAATCATACAGAGACTGAAGCTGAACCCCTGATGTCTGCTTTCAAGCCCGTCTGATCTGAGCCCAGAATCTGCCGCCGGCTTGTTTCCAGGTTTGGTTGCCAGAGGTGTGGATGCTGTAGAGACGGTTCACCAGTGGAGGGTCCCGTTATGGTGATATTTGGTCTCCGTCAGCCTGGTCAGTTTGGGGGAATCGTTTAACAAACACCGACTTCAGGCAAAGTTAAGATAGATAGAAGTTTGTCTCATTTATAGTTGTGAATTCACTGAACATTAACAGCCAGGTCAGCCTCAGCCTCTGCTTATTAGCATTAGCAGTGTTCTAGCGCCCAATGAACTGTGAGGAAGATTAGAGTTCAGCCTCATTTCAAAATAAGGTTAATATGTTGAGATTTTAGAACCATAAAAACTAATTCAAATGTTTTGATATGTAGGATGACTAAAGAAACAGTATGACCGATGTCCAAAAAATAAAGAAAAGAAACAGAGTTACTAACGCAACTCAGAGCAGCCAGTTTCTCACCTTATGTTCACATTTCTGGTCGATGGGAAGCTTCATCCACTCGCTATCGTCCCCCATGGCTACAGGTGGGGGGGGACTGGGGTTCCCCTGGAGTTACTCAGCTGGAAACATTAAAATAAACATGTTGTATTAGCATGATAAACATTAAGCTTATTTTAACAGCACTTTACGCCGAGGCAGATTAGTTCAGGTTTGCTTTGTGGAGTGAAATGACTCTGTTCATTCCTGATGATGAAGCTGTGATGAGACAGACGTTTATCTGCCTGCTTCACAATACTTCAGAGCTTAAAACACAAAAGCTTTGTGAGGTATCCTCCCTGCAGAGTTCCTCCTCAGACAGCAGGTTTGGTTGAGGTGACGCACCTAAAGGTGCTGCAGAAGCAAAGCGTTCACACAAGCACCCAGACATCTGGTTCCATCCCATGACTCCAGTGATGGAAAAGGTCAGAGTTTAGGTCAAATGTTTTGACTGTAGGGCAAAATTATCCAAAGGGAAAAAAAAAAAAACATTTTCTTTCTTCCAATAAGTAAAGTTTATTAAAACAAAAACAGGCTTTCTTCCATTAGAAGCTTAGAAAATGGGCGGTTCAAAGCGGCTTCTAGGAGAAGCTGCTGGTTCATGTTTCACATTGATCCAAACCAGTCGGGCAAACAGCCTGAAAAAGCTTTCAGTTCAGAGTCGGTCTCGCATAAACAGATGAGAAACCTCACTGACCCCAGCCAACTCTATACACTTATGAACTACGCTTTTCAGTAGGACAGGAAATTTATTGCATTTGCAATATAATCACAAATTAACAAGGTGCAATTTTCAAATTGCATAGGAACTCCATTTTGGTCTTGCAACATAAAGTGTCTAAATTTCTTATTCCAGCCCTTTAGGCAGCAGTAATATGATTTAAGTGGGTTTGCGATCATACAGACAGATAGAGATGCAGCTAGCTCGCAGATTCATGCCTGCAAATAGAAGTTAGCACTTTTTCACACAAAAGTCACAGTTGAATCCTGCAAAAATGGACTCTGGAAACACGTCTAAGGCCATGAAAAATCCTAAATCCTTTAGTAAAACATTTATGATTGTGGTTAGTGCAAAGGAAAAATCGAAATATAATTGCAGTAGTAGTTTAAAATATTAACAATTTTCGTTTTTGGCAAAACCATTCAGCCCTAGGATTCAGTTTAAGATTACATTAAACTATGAGAGTGATCTGTAGCAATTAAAGCCATTTTCACCAAAAACAGAGATTCATCTGAGAATCTACTACTTAAAAATTAAATAAAAATGTAGTGCCCATCTTTAAATTTTTTCGATTTGACTCAGGACAAAAGAGATGCAGCATCTTTTCACGATCCTAACCTTTTCCCTCTCAACGCTTCTACAAATTATTTCAAATAGTTGATACAGGTACAAATCTATTTAATGTTACAAAGCTGCTAGGAGGAAGGATGTTGGATAACACTCCTCAGGGTGATCAGTCCCTCTCTGAAGGATCTTTCCAGAGCCTCAGCTGTCCTACAGGGATGTTATCCAAGCAGCCTCCTGCCCTGTGTGTGTCCTGGGGGCTCCTAGGATAGGGCATACAGTCAGGCTCATCTTAACAGCTAATTTCCAAACATAAATAAGGACATAGAGATACAAAAGTTGCAGAAACACATCCTTGCAGGGTTTTTTTGTTTGTTCTTTTCCCTCTCCAAGCAGAGCACCTGAGACCACAAGCAAATTATTACTACTAGAGAAGCACGATATTAAAAGAAAGAAAACTGTTCTTCTAATCGTCTGACCCAAACCAAACTAAGTGCAGCTCCACAGGATACAGCCAGGTCCTCTAAGAAATGGATTATTAACTCTAGTCCTCAGGGCCCACTATCCTTCATGATTTAGACCAGAGGTCACGGCTTAGCGGACCAGGGTCCGGATCCGGACCCACCCGCTGGCTAATCCGGACCAAACCAGATTTAAAACATTTATAAATTACCACATGTTGTCCAATGACAGTGTCTAACTTAAGTTGCGTCGCTTCTCCTGTTAATATGGTAAAGATGGAGCGTCAAGGTTTAGCCTTGATCAATGCTCTAGGCCCTAGAACTGGCGGGCCAATCACAACACAGAGATGTGTTTTGAATTTCTGGATGCAAAGTGGGCGGGGTTTTGAGGGCGTGACGACAAAGCTGCGCGACGCTTGAGAAAGCACAACAAGGAAGATAGCAACAGCTATTGAACAGTTCTGGTTTGACTCAGCTTTGGAATCAGTTTTGGAAGGATTAGACTTTGGGTTTTCATTGAAGCATAAGCAGGAAGAGGCTCTACGCGCATTACTTTTTAAGAAGGATGTATTCGCCGTTTTACCAACAAGCTGTTTGTTTACGCTCCCCCACCAGCTTTCTGTCGCTCTTACTACGTCACAGTCAGTTGCTCTCATTGGTCAGAGCGTTGGCCAATAGGAAACAGACAAGGTTTGAAAAACAACAGGTTGTTCTCAACAATCTTCTGATGTCTCATTCATCGGGGCCAGACTAAATTACACATTCAATCTCACATTTAGCCTGGATTATCATGCTACAAATGGTAAGTTCAAGTGTGAATATGTGAATCAGGAAATTGTCTATATACCAAATAGAGATGTCCCGATCCAGGTTTTTGCACTTCCGATCCGATACCGATATTGTTTTTGGACTTCCGATCCGATACCGATACTGGCCGATACCAGCCTATCCGAGCATGTATTTAAGTTTAAGTTAAAGTATTTAGCCTTAGTTGTAAGACTCATGTTGAAAAGGGTTTTAGTACTCTTGATAACATCTAGCCAGCTGAATTAGGTGAGATTGAATGACTGGTAACAACAAACTTACCTGTTTATTAAGAGATAAACACAAACTGGACAAAATTATGAATAGCAATCTGAAATTGCACAGTGAGCAGTAAAACCGTAAACAGTTAAAGGTGCAAGTATTACTGTAAGTTTTTATAAAAATGCAAAACAGGGGAACACTGGCGCAAAATAGTGGAATGGATCGTTTCAATCGGCGAAACTGGAAAATACGGACCGGATTTTTTTTTAAAAACTGGATCGGCATTTTACATGCTTTGACAATGCACATTTTTTTGCCAATATCGGCGTCCCGATCCGATACGTGGATCGGATCGGGACAAGCCTAATACCAAATTGAACAATTGTTGTTTTCTTCTTCAAAAAAACACTTTTGATTTTAAAATAGAAAAATGTTTTTTTTTTATACATTTTTTCATTTAAACATTCCATGTATAACATGAATGCATATTTAATTTCAGTGTTAAATTCTGTTTAAAGTAACAGATTATAATTAAAAATGTCTCCAGACCTTTACTGGTTGATGATTTACTTTATTCGGACCCCGCTAATTTTTAATTGGCTACCTCTGATCTAGATAATGTTTATTTATATAGCACTTTATTATTTATATAACACAAACAAAGAGGTCTTAAAGTGCTTTGCAAAATTACAATACAAATAAAAATGTGTGATTCAGATGATTGCATTTCTTCCTGGACAGACCAATGCTGCAAAAGCCTGTCAATTACTTTTTCCATTCAGGTCAGGTGTGTGGATGCAGGGAAACACCTAAAACATGTAGGACAGAAACCTGCCCTGGAAGGCTGTCAATCAGAGGAGTGGCAGCAGGGAGATGTGGATGCAGGACCTAGAGGGGTTCCTGTATGCTTCAACATGGCTCATTATTAATTCAGGCACAAAAGCAAAACTGAAAAAGCACCAAAGAGCAGATCAGATGACAACAGCGTCGGTCAGATCCTTCAGGAAGCTGTGCTCACTAGTTAGATGCCACTAACTGGTGAGCACTGGTGAACTTTCCTCCCCCTGATTGGTTCAGTTGATTTGAATTTTCAATGAAGTCATTCAAATGTCTATGCTCTGCAGAGATCAGCCAGGAACAAAGCTGCACACAACAAACCGGTTAGTCAATAAGATCATCAGACCAATCTGCACCGATGAACCTTCATCACTCGATCAAAGTGAGAATAGTTAGCCTTTTATCGACAGGACTAGTCAAGCAGCGCCGTGGTAACTAGCTACCTTAGCAACAGCCGTTGCTCCGTTTCTGGTGCCAGATCCGGTTTAAACCAGCTTACCAAAATTATACATACATAAATATATGGTTAGTTTGTTTCTACTAAAACTGTGAACGACTAAATAATTCTAGCCAGATATCGTCCCCTATTATAACCTGCTCTAACCGCCCTTTAGCTGCCTGGGAACGGCTACCAGCTAACCGTCCATCCGCGCCAACACAACCAGGCCGAACAACGCACTTCCCCGCCTCAGCGACTGCAACACTCCGCCACTTAAACATGGAGGTCGGTGAATAATAAGGAACAAAGGGACATGAAATGTGTACCTGTTGGCGTCTCCGTAAGACAATAAGGATGCAGGTAACCCGGTGATATGAGGGCTAGAATGAGATCACCAAGTGAAGTCTGGCCGAGTATTTAAAGCCTGGATTGCAAAGAAGCGACAAACAACTTCCGCTACAAAATAAAAGTCCTCCATTCACCGCCTCCTGCGTCAGACGTTGAAGAAGCCGATGTACTCTAAATATTTAGAAGAAATATAAAATAATGCTGAAAGATATGGAAGAGGATTAGGTTCACTGAAAAAAATAAAAAACAGTTAACTGATTTTTAAATTTTATTTCAGTAAAATATGGGGAAAAAGTCAGAATACTGACTTTTTTTCTCAGAATTCTGACTTTAATCTCAGGATTTGGGATCTTAATGTAGATGGGCACCATGAAGGAAGAGAAGTGGGAGCACTCTGCTTCACTGACAAGATGTGAGTTTTTTGGGAGGGCCAGTAATTACGGAATTAGGCGATTTTTTTATGTGATGCTATTTAACACAAAGATGCTACTTAATTAATGGAAAAGCAGAAGGTGATTAAAACAAGAGAGCTAGTTTAGTCTTTAAAACAGTCATGGCAACGGCTGGATTCTAAGATGTTTATAAGCTGTCAGAATTCAGTCAGGATTCTGAGATTAAAGCCAGAATTCTGAGATTAAAGTCAGTATTCTGATTTTTAAAAAAGTCAGAATTCTGAGATTAAAGTCAGAATTCAGAGAAAAAAGTCTGAATTCTGAGATTAAAGTCAGAATGTTGATAAAATAAAAGTCTGAATTCTGGAATTAAAGTCAGTATTGTTAGAAAAAAGACAGAATTCTGAGATTGAAGTTGGAATTCTGAGATTAAAGTCAAAATTCTGAGATTAGAGTCAGAATTCTGAGATTACAATCAGAATTCTGTGGGGAAAAAAGTCAGAATTCTGAGATTAAAGTCAGAACTATGAGGGGAAAAAAGTCAGAATTCTGAGATTAAATTCAGTATTCAGAGAAAAAAGTCAGAATTCTGAGATTGAAGTTGGAATTCTGAGATTATAATCAGGATTCTGAGAAAAAAAAGCCAGAATTCTGAGATTAAATTCAGTATTCAGAGAAAAAAGTCAGAATTCTGAGATTAAAGTGAGAATTCTGAGATTATAATCAGGATTCTGAGAAAAAAAAATCAGAATTCTGAGATTAAAGTCAGTATTGTGAAAAAAAGAAAAAGACAGAATTCCGAGATTGAAGTTGGAATTCTGAGATTAAAGTCAAAATTCTGAGATTACAATCAGAATTCTGTGGGAAAAAAAGTCAAAATTCTGAGATTAAAGTCAGAACTGTGAGGGGAAAAAAGTCAGAATTCTAAGATTAAAGTGAGAATTCTGAGATTACAATCAGGATTCTGAGAAAAAAAGTCAGAATTCTGAGATTAAAGTCAGAATTCTGAATTTGTTCTCTTACTATACTGAAACAAAATTTTTCAGTGGCCCTATTCCTCTTCCGTAGAAAACTATCTAATTATTATTAATTTGTTGATTTTTTTAGGTATATTTTGATCTTCTAAAATTATTTGACTTTTATTTTACACAATCACATCCGTAACGCTCTCTGGTACATAAGTCATGCTTGACGCGTCGTTATCAGCGAGTCCAAGGGCGGAGAGACAGTGGAGGGCGGAGACCGGGGGCTTCGATTGTCTGCAGCCGTTTGTTGGCCTCATTCTGGCACTGAGAGGACATAAAATACCGAGAAACCCCCAAAAAGGCAGAGGAAATAGATTTTCCCTCCTTCTCTTTTCTTTTCCAAACATTTGTGATTTGTTTTTTGGTTTTCTTGTTTGTCAGCAGACATGGCAAATGATTGGCTACATTTAAACTATGCTCCACCCTTAACTTCTTCAAACCAAGTTACTGATTTGCTGAAATCAACGTTGCTCATAATCGGGAGAGATTTGATTGGCTGAACCGAGAAAACCCCGCCTTTTATTTTACAATGCTTGGTCTCTCATTGGTTAGTTCATACCGAAGGTGTACACGCCCGTTATTTTTGACTGGCTGTTCTCATATTTTATTGTTCATTTTCCTTTAAATTGTATGCGTTTTTTTCATGCATAATCTATGCATATTCTATACTATATATATATATATATAGGTTAAAAAAGACTAAAGGAATAAAATGAAATAAAGACATTAAATTAAAACAAGGGTAAAAAGAAAATTTCTATTAAAGTGATTAGACTGCTTAAATTCTAAAGAACTTGATTGTGCAATGTATGTAGATCTATTTTTGGGGCATATTGAATCCAGACATCAAAAGTCACAGCAGACAAGCCAGCAGGACATCCTTAATGGGATTCCCTTATACTGGAAACAGTGATTTGAGCCTTGTTTCGTTCAGCATTATCTCAAAGAATCAGGACTCAGAAGAGAAGTGCACAATATTTGTAGGGAGTGTTGGCCAAGTGGTTAGAGCAGTGTGCTTGTGCTTCTGAGGTTGCAAGTGCCCGGTTCGATCCCAACATACTGCCACTCTGAGCAAAAGGCCCTTAACCCCGTGGTCCAGCACAATGGCAGCCCACTGCTCCCCAAGGGGATGGGTTCAATGCAGAGAGTGAATTTCTCCAGTGTGAGATTAATAAAGTTGAATTATTATATTCAGGTGTGGTGTATCCACCACCTGAGATATTGAAACAAAGTAAGTTGAAACCATGTTTTTATGATGTTTCAACAAAATCCTCACCCTAGTATCATAATGTTTCTGCTTTGATCGACTGATTTGCAAATGCAAAGTATTATTAAATCTGCTATTGTTCAGTCAGGGTGAGCTGCATGTTGAGTCTTCTGCTATTTGCTGACAGAAGTGGCATCAGAGTGTTTTTCTGCTTTCCAACTTATTGTGGGTCCAAACCTGTTTTAACAGGCGGTTATTTATTCTGATTTTTCCTTTCCATCGTTTCCAGTCATTCTGTCTGTTCTGCTCTGACCACTGACTTCCACAAGCCCTTTGATCAGCACAATTGCAGCTCACCGGATTATTTGTGTATTTTAAACCCAGTGTCATGAGACAAAACGAGCCACATGACATAAAGCTCCTCTTTCTTCCTCAGAAAAAATGGATAAATCATATTTATATAGATTCTTCTTAGTGTTTTTAGTCTTTCTGGGACAGTTTTTACAAATGCTCTTATATATAGGAGGAGTTTTCCAAAACAGTGAAGCAAATATGGCCATTTACCTGTTTCATAGAGACAGACTGCAGGAAGGACCTCACCTTGATCCCGCAGCTCTGTGGAAGTGCAACGTTAAAGGCAGAATAAGTCCGGAGGTTTGCTTCCACAGAGCCACACAGAACATGGAGGATTTTATTCAATTGTGGGGTTTTAACAAAATTTTATGTACTGTGTCAGATAATGTAGATCTACATTTTAACAGGCTCATCATTTAATGATTTTTAACTGACACTTGTTTTATGTCAATTGTTTATGTGGTTTGAATTGTTGAAATAAAGTGTTGTTAAATATTAAAACTCTCATTATTATTTTCTATTAAGGCGGATCGCAAGCAACTTTAAGGCGCTTACCTCCACCTACTGTACATGAGTGTGTAGCAACATTACTTTACATCAATTTCTATTTTTTAATTTTGTATTCTGTAGATAAATAATTAATCTGTGAATATCCTTTATATTTCCATAATTTCCCAACATTCCTTTAAGTCTCAAATCTTTGCCTGTCCTTAAAATTATTCTTCTCTATATCTCCTTTTCATGTTCATAAGTTTTACAGTTCATCAGATAATCTACATTTTCTTTTTCTCCACATCCTTCACATTTATCATTATTTTTCCTTCCTATTAAATATACATTGTCATCTAAATAGGTATCACCCACTCTTAATCTGATCAGTATTACTTCTTCCTTCTGTTTCTCTCATTAATGATTCTATTTAATACTGATTTTTGTACCTTATATAATCCTCTTCCTTTCTTATCTTCGTTCCGTCTCTTTCTCCCTTTCTTTCCTCTTAATAGGTGATTTTCCTTCCCCTTTCCCTAAATGAATTGTAATGGTTATTGTACCCTCTAAATCCCTTTTTGTTAATATATCTACTTTTTCATTGCATTTTACACCTTCATGTGACCCTATATAATCTAAATAGACTGTGTTGGATTTCTAATACTAAATATTTTTTATCATTTCCTTCTCCCTGAATACTTTCTAAAACTTTGGAATCAGTAGAGACCACCACCCTGTCTGCTCTAACCTCCTCCAGCCATTGTAAGCTTAGTATAATTGCCACCATTTCTGCTGTGAAAACAGTTAATCTGATATTCCTTTAAAATATGTATATTTTAAGCTCTGTTATATTTATTTCTATTCCCAGATGTCCTTTTAAATTCTTAATTTATATCTTATTCTTTTTGGAATTTTATTGGCGGTTGGCACGCAACGAAATGGTGCATTACTGCCACCACCAGGTATGGAGTGTAGATCTGAATGGCTACTATCTATACTGAACAAAATCAACAAAACAAAAACCAAAATAAGATTTAAATCCCCTCAATTACACTGATTAATCTAAGATAATGAAAACAAATGACATAACACTTATCTCTTGAGTTAATTCTAATGATTTCTATTAAATTACAGTGTATTCTTTCTTTATTAAGATTTTGAACCAATCTTCTCCTTTTCCTTCTTCTTCTTCTTCTTTTCTATTATGGCGGATCACAAGCAACTTTAAGGTGCATACCGCCACCTACTGTACATGAGTCTGTAGTAGCGTTACTTCACATCTATTACATTCTATTTTTTAATTTTGTCTCCTTTTCCTTTCATACAATTTCTTACAATTTATATAGATTCTTCTTCTTCTTTTCTATTATGGCGGATCGCAACCAGCTCTAAGATTTATACCGCCACCTACTGTACATGAGTGTGTAGTAACATTACTGTACATCAAGTTCTATTTTTTTTATTTTGTATTCTGTAGATAAATAAATACTGCTTTCCTAAATCTGTGAATATCCTGTATATTTCCTTCATTTTCCAATATTCCTTTAATTTATATAGATTAATTTTCTCCGGAATTTATTCCGGGATCTTTCCGGGGGAAACATTTCTATGTAGCTCAAAACATCCGGTCTTCTCCCTCTCTCTCTCTTTTTTTTCTTCCATGGCAACGTTCTGTTAGTTTGTGATTATCTGAGAGGCGGAACCAGCAGAATGAGCCGCCTGAGTTCGGCAATCCCCGCTGAGCAATACCTCGGTATGTTTGCAGCTGCAGTTGCTCATCTATGTGGGTTCGGTTCGGTTTGTCTTAACATCTGTGTTGTTGTTTTTGTGCTAGCGGACAGCAAGGTTCTGTTCTACCTGAATGATGCGTTGACTCAGCTGCTGGACCATAAGGAGGAGTACACCCAGTTCGGCGTGGTTCGGTACTTCGCGGAATAGTAGGTTCCACATTTGGACCCGCCCGAACCACACAGCTAAACACAGGAGATTTGTATGGATTTAATAAAAAAAAAAAAAAAAAATGTTTTGTTTTTTTTCTTATTTTCTAGGTTCTAATTTTTTTTTTTCGTTTTTCCTTCGAAAAGGATCCAAAGCTTTTTTGAAAATTCAGAATTGCTTAATACTTATAAAAGTATGTGTATATATACAGATCTGTTTATCTAATTTTAAACAAATCCTTGTTCTCAGTCATAAAATCTAAATAGAAAATAATAGAATAGAAAATAATAATAATAATATAAAAAATAACCTAAACAAAAAATAATAATAGAAAATAATGGAATAGAATAGAAAATCCCTTTAGGGTTGTTTGTTTTTTATTGAAAAAATACTTATTTTAAAATAGAATATAACAGAAAAGCCTTTTATTGTCTCACAATGGGGAAATTCTGGTGTTTACAGCAGCAAAAAGATTATAGAAAGATATGGTCACACATTATGGACCTTAGAAAAATGCATAACATTATAGTGAAGAGTTAAAAGATGAACAATAAAATGCTGTAAAGTGCTTTAACAATATATTATAAAATAAAATCAACATGAATGTGGTAAACTCTGTTCATTCTAAGGTGAAATTAAGGGTTAATTCCCCCTTTATTTATCAGCGGGTTTCAACCCAGCTTTACTTCCTGAATATTCCAAATAAAACAAACAAACTGTTGTTTCTTGATCAATAATCTTTAAGCCTGTTTTGAGGTGATCGTCTAACTACAGGGCTTCCCAAACTTTTCAGCCTCTGACCCCCAAAAACACCACTGAAACAAAAACACACAGAATTACTTCAGTTTTGGTTCATCTATTTATGTAAATGTAAAATAAGGAGATAGGAAAGCAAGACGGGGAATGCTGAACAGCTGGATCCAGATGGGATATAATTAGTAACCAGGTTTTTTACGTAGCACTAAAGGCCATTATTATTTGATCAATCATGAACTAAAACAATTATAAACTTGTTCAAATCTCCTCTATAATTTGATTTTAATTGTTTTCACAAAGAGGATTTTGTATGGTGGTCTGTATGCATAGACGATTGTTCTGATTCTACATTTGGGTTTTTTCCCTTTTGCAAGATTGTTTTGAATTAATCTCTGATCAAAGAAAAGGAAAAAATAACAACCTCCTACAGGTAAATATTATTAACAGGACTCATATTACTGCACCTGCTACCTCTGAGTAGATCATTTTATTATCTTATAACATTTTTATTACCTGAACTTTCATTATTTTTGGCTATTCTTCATTCATGTTGCTTATTTGGTTTTTAAATATTTAGTTTTTGTTGTTGGGTGTAGCCCTTTATGGTGCGTTCAGACCGGAGGCAGTGGCTGTGGCGAATGTCGGTAAATTCACATAGAATTCCTGTACAAACAGCTCCGCCATCACCTCATGCTACTAGATAGAGCTATAGTGCAGCACTGCATGGAGAGAGCGGAACGCTGATCACTGAAGTGGAAAAATCTGAACTTTTCTATGAAACTCCACACAGCAGCCAATCAGGGACTGGTTGGAGGCGAAACTTTTTCACTTAAAGGTATAGTGGAGGATGTTCTTTTTTTTGTGGATCATCAAAATAAGTGGTCCTCCTAATTGTCAATCATTCTGGTGATATGTTTATGTCCTACATGCTCATTTTGACCTTAACCCTATGGTGAGAAATACCTCCTCTCTCGCAAACTGATGAGAAAAGGGATTAAAATATGAAGGAAACATATTCTTGATGTTTTCATATTTCTTATGCATGGATGCCCTAAAACTGAGAGTTTTGGTGGACAGATAAATTCAAATGAAAATGATTTTTACTTGTATGGAGACACGTTTTGGTCGATGTGCTACAGTCAGTGTATAATGAACATATTCTCAGTGGATGGCATTTCCCACTATTTTTGCTATCAACACCATTCTAGATCATTTCTAACAAAAACATTAAGAATATATTTAAAAGTTCCCTTTTCGTTCATATTTCAGTCCATTTTCTCATCAATGTGCGAAAGTTTACGGCCATGCACGCTCCTGCAACATTGGAGGTAATTCTCTGCAGCCAGGAATTTCTCAGCATTTATCTGTCCGGCAAAAATTTCATTCTCAGAGGATCCATGTATAAGAAAGTGTAATAAAGAAATATTAAAAATATAGTATCCTCAACATAACACCTGTGGTGAGTCTGACAAAGTGGAAAAATTGCAAATCTTCTTTTGCAAAGTAAGCTTGTATGAGCGATGCAAACAGCAACTTTTAAATAGAGCGTGCACGAGGAGAAATGGGCTCCTGCATGCTCACACACGTGTTTAATAGGCGTTCCCTCTCGGGAGCGGGTACAGAGTTGTAATATGCACTTTGTTTTAAAGTGGAGAGGGAGGGTCTTATCCAAAATTTGTGAAAATCCTCCACTATACTTTAAAATGGAATACAGGGAAAATAATGTTTAAAAAGGTAGAAATAAGCTCTAAAGATGTGGTTAGGTGGCTTAAAAATGTCTAATTTAGTCCTAAAAGGACTGTTAATCATCTTCAATTCCCTCCAGCACAGAGCCCAGTGTGTTGCTTCCAACTGCCCAGCATCAGTGTTTTCTGAGGGGGTAGATTTACAAGGAAGCCCCGCCTAATCCGACTGTCATCCACACTTTCTTTTCAGAGTTTTTGGGGCTTTTCCAAAAAAAGATGGTCTCCCCAAGGTGGTTCAAAAGTTGTTCATAGAGAACAATTTAGCAGCAGTCTGTGATGTTAAAGGTCACCTGTGCTTTTATTGTCAAATGCTGACAGCAAGACCTTGACAGGAAATGACATGGGGTTGCCAGGGGTAACGGCAGGTCCTAAGTGATGGGTCTGGGAGGCTGGTGATTAACTAAATATCAAACAATTGTTCCAGCCACTAAATAAGGTAAACATGCCCTCTGTTATATTCAATACCAGCACACACTGCAAAAATTATCTCAAAATGAGTAAAAATTTCTTAAATTAAGGGTATTTACCCATAATTTGAGCAGGTAAATAAGATGATTTGCCAATGGAATTAGTATTTTTACTCTTAAAATAAGGTATCTAGATAAAATGCACTTGAAATAAGACAATGCAATTGTTTTTTCTTATTTTAAGTGTAAATTGTCTTGTTCCATTGGCAAAGTGTCTCACTTAAATCCTTAATTCAAGAAAAAATGCACTTATTTTAAGAATAAATGACTTATTTAGATTTCATTTTTTGCAGTGCAGAAATGACATGTGATGTTATGCAATAACTTTATATCAGGATACAAACGCAGCGTCTGCTGGGATGCTGATGTCATTGTCCGTAATTATTAAAAATTCTATCTTCAAAACCAAATCAGCACAAATTACCTGCAGAAATGAAGAAGCACTGAAAAATCAGGCTAGATTATTTGATAATTGACCCTTGGGTGACCTAAAACATGATATCTCTGAAACAGCAGCAGCATGTGGTCTTTTTTTATTACATTTTTACAAACGACCTTTTTAAATGCTGATGAAGGTTCTCAGTCATCCAGGTCATAGTCATTCCGTAAAAATTCAAAAAATATCCACTGGATTTGAAGACGTTTCGCCACCTCTCCAGGAAGCTTTCTCACCCTTTTAAATGCACAAACCTGCATGAAAGAAGTAATAAGCATTCAGTCTATTTGCTGAGTTTTTTTCACATCGTTGGGGTGTCAGCTTCATGATGATGCGGTCCAGGGTGTAAACACTGCAGAGCGGTGAACTACCCACAGGGCTGGAGGAAATCAGCGCGGACACCACGTCCGGTCTGGAGGCACCATTAATAAACCGAACCGATGAGTAGTTGAAGGAAGATGTCTTATTTTTTATAAAGACCACAGCTTTGCGATGACCTTCGACCTTGTTTATGTGTTTGTAGTTTCAGCAGTGTGAAGAACGGCAACCACGTCCTCTTCAGGGAGTTTAACTTCATCAGAGCCACTCAGCACAACAGAGCGTCCTTCATCAGAGTCTTCTGGAGATGCTTCAGGCAGATCGGGAAGAGTGGAGGTAAGAGCCGCTGCTAATCCGACTGCAGCATGTTAGTGAATAACGGTAGCAGGTTTCCTGAGCCGCAGAGTGATAACCTTTTTAATATATCTGTTAATTAATGCTTTCATCTTGTTTAAACATATTGATTCATGACTCCATCCATGAAAGAGGCTCCTTGTTGTTGCAGACTTGCTGTCCATGCTGGAGTACAGGTCTCTGCTGCAGCTGCTGTGCCCAGACTTCCCTCTGGAGGTGGTGCGGAGCGCCGCCAGGTTAGCAGAATAATATGTTGGACTCGGGGATCCTCACTTGGAATTAAAATAGTTTGATCCACAAACTTAAATAAGAATTAGAAGAAGGAAAATATTTAACTGCGATACCACTGCTGAAAGCAGCAGCACCATTGTTTGTCCTCATTTTCCGTCCTTATCACACAATGTCCCCCCAAAAAAACACAAATTTCATCACAAATACAGTAAACCCTTTACTTTGGGTCCTCAGGGGAAGTTAGAGCTTGTTATTTCTTTTCTAGCATTTTATTGTCATAACACTGTCACAACTACAGAGCAACAAAATTAAAGGAATAGTACACCCAAAACATGATTAGCCTTCATTTGCTCCTCCCCCCCATGCGGAACACCACTCTGGAGTACTTTTTTGATATC